TTATAATTATTAATGAAATGTTGAAGAGGTACAAAGAAACTACATTTAAAAAAGTCATCATTTCTGTAGAGAACTTCCCCTTTTTACCTCTTCTTCAGAGAAGGACTGGGCCTGGAAGCTGCTCAACCATCAGTCTTCACAACTGAGAAAACACTAAATGGACATTTGGGAAAAGAGCAAGTAAAAAATTGCAAGCCAGGATTATTATTCTACTGCTGATTTGCCTTGAAAACTTACTTTGTTTCAGTTTAACCAACTGCAAATCTGGTTACAGCTGAAAACGGCCATTAGAAGTAACATTATCCATTACCAACTCTGAAGACTATCAGCAGGATTCATACACCATGCAGGAAGATGAGAGTGATAGGGACAGTAATTGCATGTGACAGGTAGGTTTTTCTAACGAGTACTTTTGTTTAAAAACAGAAAGCTGCTTAAGCTGTATTATTATGAGGAGAAAGATTCCCTTTGAAATACAACAGGGAAAACAGTGATTTAAAAGCAGTTTGAAGAATCCAGTGAGACAGAAAATGTACTTGCTGGAGTCACAAAAACCAGATGTATTTTTAGGCAGTTGAGAAGGATGTAGCTACGAATCATCAGAAGTAAGAAGTACTTATCTGGAAGAAGCTCTTATCTGGAAGATAAGAAATCAGTTTCTACAGAATACAATTACATACTCTAGCCTGTATCTGTTAGAAACAAGAATATATTCATGCAAGTAATGCAAGTCTCTGAGATTGTCTCTCAAGAGTCTAGAGTCTGTTGGAGAATAATGTTTTGATGACAAAGTTATAGATCTCAGCCACCCCTAATGTCTATCTGTCACACAGATATCAATCATAATCAGCTTCTTAGTCTTGAATGTTGTTTTGTAAAAGAATGAAGAGAGAGACATCAGCTGTCTGAAGTGTCAGAAATCGCATCTGAAAGACAGGGGAATATGACCAAACTGATGAGTGCAGTCCTAAGAACACACCAACCAAGGAGACCTTTCCTTGAATGGGATGCAGGTGGAGACAGAGCTAAAAATGTGACTACCAGGCTTACAGCTCCTGTACTCTAAATCTACACAGCACAATGTTGAAAGTGCATCCTCAAGAAATAAGATCCTTTACTTGCCAAAACTTCTTTGATTTCCTCATATCCCATCTGTTCTTTTGCTTCTAGTTGAGCAACAAAGTCTATGAGTAGTTATCTAACCCCAGGGGCCCATCAATTATTTCTTCAGCCTATTAAAATGAGGGCAGTTGCAAAGAACAGACACTTTCAATATATTTACATCTGCATTACACTGGCCTTGAATAAATATGCTTAGTATTTAGTCAAGTCTATATTTTAAAATAATACTTTTCTCTTGAAGATATTCATAATTGAAATTTCTGCTCTGGAATAATCTTCTGTCCTGTCATGGTGCAATAGACATTATGTGCACAATATTTTTTGACCAGGTAGTGTATAGATAAACAGCATCCTGAAATCTGCATAAGCATCCTGTATTAATGTATCCTGTTTCAGAGAGAAATATCTATTACCATTGGCCCAGGGAAGGATAAAATGTAGAAAGAAGCCTTTCCACATAGGAAGCCAGGCTTAAGCTAAAAGTTTTGTAAATGAAAATGAGGTTTGTTAGCATGGCTTTGCATACCTCCACAGTCTGCTGACAGTCCACTCTTTGTTATAAAATCTGACAATATTGTTGAAAAGATTCTGAAGTTCTATTAGAAAGCAAATTCAAAAAGGAGAGGGCAGGAATGATACTGTATGGCTGTCAGTTTACTAAAACTACTGAAAAAATCCACCTCCTCCCACAACTCCCTTCAAGGTTCCCCATGTCGCAGAGTCAAAGTGTATAACCCGTTTATTCTCCCTAGAACTCCAGAATCCTCTTCTTGCACATGCAGGCAAATACCACCACCACCACCCCCCCCCGCCCCCAGTATAAACACTGGTACTGCTTGGCTGTTCAATGTCCTTTAATCAAAATATTATTTGACAGTATCAGATAACTTTAAAAGGTTGACTGTTTTCTCATGTAATTAAGCATTTAGCATTATATTACAGAATACAGTTTTCCAACAGTAAATATTCACAAATATACACAGGGATGTTTGGAATAGAAGTTTTCAAATTGGAATTCTAAATGCCTACGTACAAACACAAAAATTCACAGTTCTGTGTAAACAACATGGTTGCTGTTTATACACAAACCAGCTCACTACATACTGCAATATGCAAGTTGCTTTTATCTGGCCACAGAATTTCTGTGCACTTGAGGCACACATCTGTGTTAGCCAAGTTGGACTGTGACAACAAATTTCCACTGATATGGACCATGTCTTCATATTTCTTACATATCTCTTTCCCAGTAAAGATCTGGGAAGTGGAAAAAAAAAAAAAAAAAATGCTTCTCAGTATTTTTCATGCTCAAATTTTTATCTGTCTTCATCCCACTTCAGTGTTCAGGGGGACGATGTAGGTATCACATTGCTTGCAGGATCAGGTCTTTAATCATTCATACAGCATGACCCATGCAGGGCTCCAAAGGCAACCACTTGAATCTGTTTTCATCACAACTCACTTTATGTAGGCCTTTGTTTCAATGCTGGCAGCCTGTGTTTTTATGACATTTCTTTCTCAATGAGTAAGCTTCAGCACGAAAATGCTAAATAACGTCAGGCTGGTTTATAGACTGTTCTATGACACCGTTTTTTTATAAGGCAAGAGGCAGCAGGGTATTGGTCTCAAGCAGTACCAATTTGAGAGCTTAATTCTCCATATTTTCTCCCTGAAGAACTGTAGGTTTCTTAAACTCAGTAACAAAACTAAAAGCTGTTAAGAAAATCAAGTCAGTTTTCTCCTGTATGATGCAACATTTGGAAAGTGTTTGTATATTACCTTCTGGAAAACAACGGAGTTCTTCAAACTTCTTCTGTAACACTATAAAGATCACTACTTTAAGGATATGACTGACAGCTCACAGTGGAATTAATAATATGCATGCAACTAGAAGATGATGCCCATTAAAAAAAGTTTGCAACTGACAAGTTCTGAAATGCTGTTACTCTGATGTTAACTTAATTTCTTATTTATTCAGACCTTTGCTGAATCACCATCATGAAAATCCATCTGTTAATCCTTAAGCCAAGAGCAAAGACACTCCCTAAATTGGCACTGAAGGGTCACTGTAGAAGAATTCTTTACCTCCTATGAGCATACTTTTCAAGCCAGCAGGGATGGAACAGGTACACTCACATATGATTTACCAGCATATATTTTGCTGCCATTCTTATTTTTAAGCCCTACCCCCAGAAAAAAGAAAATGGAAGAATTTCAAAGCTTGACTCCAACACAATACTTCAATACCATTTGTTACATCCTCACACTTCCACTGACACTTCCTACATACACATACTGCCTCCCATCATGCATATTTAATCTAATATCTTGTTCACATTCATAAAGATCTGCATGTATGCTTTCAAGCTTTTAATTTTAGCATCAGAAGTAGGCATGGCAAAACAATTTAAGATAACAATAATGTATCAAAAACATTTGCTCTTCTGAAATCAGCTCCTTTAAAATAGAGATACTATCCAGAAGATGTATGTCAGGCTGTGAAAATTACTTCAAGGCAGGAAGGGCTGCATTAGGACAGTAATGGCACATTAGTGCCTGAAATCATGATTATCATCATCTATTACTCATGAAGAAGTTGGTCACAAGAAAAATGTTGAATAGACATGAAATGAGAACACTGATGCGTTGAAGACCCTCCAACTGTACAGATGAAAAATTAATCTTCAATTATAGATGCCAGTATAACGGAATGGTTAAATAAGGAGGTTTAAGGCCAAGGTTACAATTTTATGCTCTTTATTCTCCTTCATGAATTCTATTTATAGAATCAAAAGCAGATAATCTTGCAAGCTCTGTAACAGCAGTACTTTAACAAGAAAATAACTGAATATTCATAGATTTATTACTGATTTCTGTCTGCTCCCAGAATTCCAGGGGACACTTTTCAGTAAATCTTTTTTTGTAATAACATTAAAGTAATACAATAACCCACACAATATGAACAAGTGTAATGGGAAGGCAGTCTCATCCTTCCCAGACCTGAAGCCACAGCACACCCTTCCTATTGACAAGGTTCTGCCTCTGCCTGGTACCTGCAAACAGCCCACTTGCAGTCTGTTTACCCATCGGGTGGAGAAGCTACTGTCACAGAAGGTAACGGCTCTATTGCAGAGGTACAAAAGATGAGAAAGAAAAGAAAGAAAAAGAATAAAAGACCACTGTCTACTGCTGCATTTCCACTGCAGAATTAAGCATGAACACATATGACCTAAATACATATGGGAAATAAGAGAGGACTCTTCCATGGAACTGTTAACTATCCATGTAAACATCCACAGAATAAATTACAGTGAGCCAGTGTCCAACAGAATAAAGCATTCAGGTGGCACAATTCGCATTCAAAGGCGGCAGCTCTGACTTCAGGCTTGGTAGCAAGAAATGTGTCCGCACCCTCCCGTCGCCCATGCAATAGCAGTCCTTACGGCTCCGGGCACAAAAGGCCGGTTTCTCCAGTATAGCCCTCACGCACTCATGGATTCATTTCCCCTGTTATGATTCCAGGCAGCGAGCAGCCCCGCAAACAGGGAGCCTACAAGTGCTCCCACAGCTACTCTGTTGCCGGGAACGCGGACGGGACGAGGAGGCAGGCAGTCCGCCCGCGCTGTGCAAAGGCACAGAGCTTTGAGCGTCCGCGCCTGCTTCTCTTCCCAAGAGGAACGGCGAGCAGCACTCTCGCCAGCGCCGGCGCTGGCCCTGGCTGGGGATCGGGGCCGCCCGAAGCCCCGGGGCAGCCACCGACGCGAGCGCTCCGTCCCGGCCCCGGACCTCCGCCCGCTGCACCGCGGGAGCCGGGCGGGACGCGGCAGAGGGGAGTGGGCGCCAGGGCAGTCTCAGGACTCGCGATCCCCGGAGGCACCTACCGGGAGGACTCCCCGCTGAAGCTGCCGCCGTCCAGCAGCCGCACCTTGCAGAAGAGGATGCCGTTGACGAAGGGCACGGAGGAGAGCTCGTCCAGCTCCAGCTCCACGCGGAACTTGAACTTCTTCTTCTTCATCATGATGAAGGCCATGGGCCGGGGACTGGCCGGGGGCCGTCCCCAGGCCCGCTCGGCGCCGCGCGGCAGCTCCCCTCCGCCCCTCTCCGCTCCCATGCCCGGAGGGAGCGCGGCGGCACGGCGGGGCTGGGCCGGGCCGGGCCGGTCCGAGCGGCGGCCGCCCCAGCTCAGCCGCCGCCGCCGCGGCGCTCCCGGCAGGCGTTTACATGGCAGCGGGCGCCTCCCTTTCAAACCCGCCCGCCTCCGCTCCGCCCGCCCGCCAGCGGCCGGCAACGGCTGCCGCCCGGGCGCGGTCGGCCGGAGCCACGCGCGGGCACGGCCGAGCCGCTGCTGCGGAAGGCGTTAAACGCCGTCGCTTCACTTGGCTGAGGAGCGGAGCGGGCCGCTGCCGCGCTGTTCACTAACGGGAGCCTGGCGTGCCGCTGTCCCGCGCAGCGCAGCGCGGCCGCGGGAGGAACGTGGCCGCTGAGCTTGTGCAACCCGGTCCAGCAGCAACCCCGCCGCCTGTGGATCCTGTTAGGGCAGCCCCGCCAGCCGAAACCCACCGTCTGGCTAAAGTTATGTCTGTCTCATGGGTGGTTTTAAAGGACACTAACAAAACTAAACGTCGTTCAGACGTCGAAATTTCAACTCTGACGCTAGATTCCTTCTGATGTAATTCAAACCTTATCGGGGTCCTTCCTAACAGTTCAGTGTATAGTACAGGCTCCACTTTTGATAAGAGCAACAAACGCTCACAGTCCTGCAGAGAAAAAGGGAAGTACACATCCGTTTTTACATTTAAGAACAGCCCTGTGGCACCCACGATCACAGCAGCACATATACAGCGTTCCTCTGTATAACGTGTAGTTCAACACCAGCGTGTGCTCTCCAGAGAACAGCTTTGACTCAGAAACTCATTCCAGAAGACTTAACCACAAAGCAGGCTCCTGGCACCCTCCGTCAGCAGAGCAGGTTCCTCTTCTCAGAGTGTTGCATAAGAAAACTATAACACACACCATGTCTTCCTGCAACGGAGCATTTACTCACACGATTGGAAGAAGAATTTGTAAGATAGGCATGTAAGCATGATGCTGAGGCCCTGGAATCTTGTTGCAAAAATACTGCTGCCCCTCCTTCAGGAGAAACATGGAAAAATAATTTTTGTATGGAACACATACCTGGTGAATACAGACATCAGCTATGGTGTGTGTGGCAAAGTATACCAAACCATCAGCAACTGTGCCATAGAATAATGGTAGAGAAAAAGTAGTAAACAGTAAAAAAAACCAACCCAAAACAAAAACATAAAAACGGAGCGCCTGAAGAAGAAATGCTCTTGCCTTTTCTGTCTGACAACATCCAGGACATAACAAGTATTTCTACACAGAATTTTTCCGTAAAAAGAACTACAAGGGTAGTTCTGACTCCATGATTTTCATGTTATTAACAAAAACTTTCCTCTGAAACTTCCACATGTCAAGTAATCACTGGCTTGGAAGGAAGCTGTGTAACTGGAACAAACTTAAGAGACCTTTGAGAGGAGGTCCAGGCATTTGGCCTCCTTGACCTAAGAATTCCTCCCTTGAGAACATCTCTCCAGTCTGCTCTAAAATTATTTGGAAAGTCTCCTCTCTTCAATAGACTGCAACAGCCTACAGTGGATTGCACAGGGCAATGCTCTAGGTACTGTATCCATCAGCAATCTGTTCAAAGGAAAGGAAGGTGAAAGGTTTTCAGCACCTAAAAGGAGTGAATCACTAGTAACATGGTATCAAGTTATACCAAGAGGCTCCTTTCTCTCAGAGCTAAAGAGCCAGTTCTGGAGTTCCGTTAGAAGCAGATGTTTCTGTTTGATGGAAGAGATTACCACATGTAGCTGGAAGGTCCTGTTTATTAAGATCTAGGAAGAAAAGCAGAGCTGAATAAAAAATAGGGTTGCATACCACATGAATTATATATCAGCAGTCTGACAAATACAGGTGGTCCAGCAATTATATAGCACCTTAAAGAAAACCTGAACTGATTTACACCTTGTCAGAGAAGAGGTAGAAGGGGCAACATTAATAAATGATTAAAGCCTATAGGTTATTACAGGCTCTCTGAGTAGGTCCTCTGTACAACTGAATTTACCTGAAAGATATAGGAGTTGATACACTGTATACACAGACGAGCCATAAGAGCCCTGTACAGCCCCACTCAAGCCCTTACCCCACCCTGCCCACGGGACCCATTGAAGCCCAGCTCTAAGCCCTCAGCCCTGGTTTGAGCCCTGTTGCAGCTCTGTCTGTTGGGGGGGTGTGTTGCAGAACTGCCTGCACCTTGGTGTGGACCCTGATGTGCAGAATGATTTCTAGGTTGATCTCAGACCTGTCTTTTCATTGTAGGTGTGCCTGACCGTGGTTGCTGTTGTGGGACTGGACTCCGAGATGTGTTCCCAGTGAGACCTCAGCCCTACCTCTTGGCTGTGTATACCTCCTCTCCTGACCAGGTACTACTTCTGTTCTTGCACTCCCTGCTGTTGGGGAGGGAGCTGGCCCTTGCTGTGCCGTGCCATCCCGCGGTGCTAGCTGCTAAAACAAAGAAAATGCTGGTTGCCCAATGACTTCAGGAGGTTTGCTTCAAATGCTATCCTTATCTTAAAAAAATCCAACTCTACTCAGAAGCTAAATTTGCATTCAGAAGCTGGTGGCTTGAAAATGTCTTCTATATTGAGAATAACCTTCTTGATAAGAGAGAGTCAAAGTCAAAAGTGTCACAAGTATAGATTTTTAAATATATTTAGAATCTTTAATCAAATGGTTCTCTAAATAGCAGAGGAGTTTTGCGAAAAAGGATAAATACTGTGGGTAATGTAACAATCCTATGTTGTCACTGATGTAAAGCTTCTGCAAGTTTAAAGCACTGGAGTTTTATTTTAGGAGAAATTCATAAATCTTTAAAGAAGTTGAATGTTACTCAAGCAGGTGCAAAACATCAAAGATTCAAGAAAAATCAGTGTTTTTCAAAATAGCAGAGTTACGCCAGGAGAAAACAAATTATTCAAAAGCTGCTTCCTCTCCCAGAGAATACAAGATTACAGTCACAAAATTGCAGGAGCTAATAGGGAACTTCCTTTATGAACCAGTGATTCCATGGACAAATGAAGGCCAGGTATCTGAGATTTTAAAATCCTCCAGAGCACCAATGTAAATATTGTTGGAGGTGGTACTAATGTGATCTGTGTTCATCCTCTTGGCCTATTTGTTATCTACAGCACCATTTCCCCACTGGCACTTGTACTTCTGACCTCTAGCTCTTTTTTCCTGAGACTAGTGGCATCAGAAAAACACTGAAACCTTTCCTAGGTTTGGCTTTAGCTGGACATCTACTCTTGTTGTGACCTAAGAGCTGGGCTACCACTTGTATCCAGATCAGTGCTTCCAGCAGCTGTCAATTGTAAGCACTCTGTCTTGGTCATGAATGAGATTAATTTGGGTGTCTGAAACTAAATTAAACTGAAAAGCAATCTCAGTGGGAGCTAAATGCAGTGTAGGTAAGTAAACTCTGTAATCATGGCACTTCTCATGCTGCTTTAAGAAATATATGGTGAAGCCTCAGTCTTCCAAACAGGTTTGCATGCGTTTAGTACAAACCCACATGAGCGGTCTCTCTGATCACCTTCTGAATGATCACTGCCTTTATGTGGTGTGGCTATTTACAGCTGTGCTGTAAATAAAGCTCAGGTAACAGTCCCAATTCCACAAGGTGTTCTGTGCCCTCCAAAATGGTGATGTGTTGCAGGGAAAGTCAGAATACAGTATACTCAGCTTGACCTCTACTGGCATTAAATCATGGTTTCTTCATTTGTAAACTGTGTTTACCTGTACTATGGCACCAATCTTTCTGAATGAAGGCAGAAATCTTTTTTCATGCTAAACCAGTCCAATGCTGTATGCTAAAAAGGACAAGTACCAGCAAAGAAGAATGTGAACAATAACAAAAGAATCTGAATTTATCACAGCTTGTTGTTCTATGATAGTAGGATTCCAAAATGTGTTTATTTTGAAGAATTATTTTATAATGATAGCTTAAAACCAAGCTGATTACATCTGTGTAACGGATGAAGTATTCATTTTGCCCTGAAACAAGAAAAACCACTGCACTTTGTCTGTTATTAGTTGCCTTTGTGTTGTTTAACTATGCCCTCCTGTGTGTGTCCTGGAGATTGCTCCTTCAGCTGACACAAAATTTTGAATGTACTTATCAAACTTTTTAGCTGTGTAGCAGGACTAGGCTTGATCTCTTAATTTAAAAATTACTCAACTTGACTGTAGTCCCTGGGGTTAAGCCAGAATCGACTCTTGGCCCACGAAGTAGACTGTTTTTACAATTTGAAGATTATTATGAAGTGTTTCTTTGATCACAGATAAAGAGCTACAGTATCTAGGGCAGGCACTGAATCATGCAATTCAGCTGAGTTATCTTTTAGTCTGTTAATAAAATACATCATCTTCCTCTAGCCTCTGAGGTTTTGTGATATTTATAGCACTTCCTCTAAGTGGATAGTATTGATGTAATTTAAACATTTATTGTACATGAATTGATATATATACTAATTAAAAGCTCTGTTTTATTAAGTTAAATGCATATATTTTTCTGATGAATTTTTGATGTTCTAATACTAATGTGTGATGATCTCAGAAAGCCTTATAAGAATATACATAATATAAATATTGCTGAGTTTTAAAAAATCTTATTTTAGATGCACGTCTTGGGCAAAGACATTTCTTGACTCAGATGTCCTTTGTGGATATGCAGTTCTTTCAAGCAAGGTAAAAACTAGAATGCAAGATGATGGACTATTCAGAACTCCTTTTTAACTAACAAGGACTCTGTGAACAATACAGCCCCAAACCCATCGTATAGATCGTAGAATTACAGAATGGTTAGGGTTGGAAAGGACATTAAGATCATGTAGTTCCAACCCCCCTGCCATGGGCAGGGACGCCTCATACTAGGCTGTATTGCTCCAAGCTCTGTCCAGCCTGGCCCTGAACACCACCAGGGATGGAACATTTACAGCTTTTTTGGGCAGCCTGTTCCAGTGCCTCACCACCTCCACACTAAAGAACTTCCTCCTTATATCCAATCTAAACTTCCCCTGTTAAAGTTTGAACTCCTTGTCCTATTGCTACAGTCCCTGATGAAGAGTCCCTCTCAGG